AGATGAGAACAAAGAGTTGGCTGATATCAATCTGAGCGCCACTTCCAATGTCACATTTTTGCTCCATGAAGAAGTACATTTGGAATAACACAAAACACAAAACAGAATGTCACGAGTGTAAAATCTGCATGGATTTCATTCAAAAAGTCTGTAAACGCTTTCTGCAACCAACTTCTGAGATGTTTCCTGAAAAGCCCTCATCATTGTGAAATAACATTTTACATATTCACTCTTCCATTGCTTAAAAATATTATGGAAGAATCTTCCTGGCATGATTAGGAAGAATCAGAGTGACATAGCAAGCAGTAAAGAGATCATTTGAATGTGTGTTTAATTTGTTTGCCAAGGGATTGCAGAAAAACGGCAGAATGTGGTACTAGGTAAAGAATGCCAGCTTTCGTTTAAAAACAATAAAATAATTTCTAGTTCTTGAGGCTGTAAAGACATGCTTGAAAATGTGCAGCAATGCCTGGTGAACTTTCAAAAGCCAGAATAATACTGAATAAAATATCCTCGGTCAAAACTGGGGTTCCAGTGCCTGCCCATCCCCTTCGCCAACAAAACCAGAATTATGCAGAATAATGGGGAGGGGGAACCATTTCAGATTAAGTAAGATAAATGATAAGTGATTTGGATTTGCACAGTTGGGATAATTTGCACAGGTCACAGAACTGCTTATGGCACAGCATACAGATTGCCTGGGTGCTGAGTTTTAGTTTAGGGCGGACTACCCTATCTATTACGGGACGCGGGTGGCGCTGTGGGTAAAAGCCTCAGCGCCTAGGGCTTGCCGATTGAGAGGTCGCCGGTTCGAATCCCTGCGGCGGGGTGCGCTCCCGTTGCTCGGTCCCAGCGCCTGCCAACCTAGCAGTTCGAAAGCACCCCCAGGTGCAAGTAGATAAATAGGGACCGCTTACTGGCGGGAAGGTAAACGGCGTTTCCGTGTGCTGCGCTGGTTCGCCAGATGCAGCTTTGTCATGCTGGCCACGTGACCCGGAAGTGTCTCCGGACAGCGCTGGCCCCTGGCCTCTTAAGTGAGATGGGCGCACAACCCCAGAGTCTGTCAAGACTGGCCCGTACGGGCAGGGGTACCTTTACCTTTACCTTTTACCCTATCTATTAGGAGGCGGGTGGCACTGTGGTCTAAACCACAGAGCCTAGGGCTTGCCGATCATAAGGTCAGCGGTTCGAATCCCCATGATGGAGTGAGCTCCCGTTGCTCAGTCCCAGCTCCTGCCAACCTAGCAGTTCTAAAGCATGCCAAAGTGCAAGTAGATAAATAGGTACTGCTCCGGTGGAAAGGTAAATGGCGTTTCCGTGCACTGCTCTGGTTTTGGCAGAAGTGGCTTAGTCATGCTGGCCACATGACCCAGAAGCTGTACACCAGCTCCCTCGGCCAGTGAAGTGAGATGAGTGCTGCAACCCCAGAGTCGTTTGCGACTGGACCTAATGGTCAGGGGTCACCCCTTTACCCTATCTATAATTAGTCCACACACATGAAACCTTATCTCTGTTCTATCGTGTTTGTTGTGATTAAAGTGAGAGTGGCTGACTCCCAATTTGGAGACCCCAGTTGGCCTGCCAAGCAAATTTTCCTGGCCTCTCAAGAACCCACTGACTTTGACCGCAGCAGCAAAAAACCCACAAAAATTAAAGCAAGCACAGCACTTGAATTATTTGATGAGTGGAGAGGGGACCATAACCACCCTCCTCAGCTGATCTGGATGGTGCCTATACATGCGCACCCTGTGCGTCTTCCATGCATGTTGGTGTGAGAGAGAATGGGATGTCTTTGGCCACACCCAATGCTGGCAGGTGACCCCTGGAGGGTTGGCCAGTGGTGAATGTGGCCCGCGGGCCAAAGAAGGCTAGCCACTCCAGCATCAAAGGCGAATTACTCAATCGGCTCATAATGCTTTCCTTGTTTACTATTATATTCTGATGGATTACTGAATATTGCTTTATTTTTGTTTATGTTGTTTATGTTAAAGTTATGCTTTTAGCTTCACTTTTTTGTATTGGATCAGATTGTTATCAGGTGTGTGATCTTTGCTGCCTGTTTTGTTGTGTCTTCAGCCTGTAAACCAGGCACAGGCAAACTCGGCCTTCCAGATGTTTTGGGACTACAACTCCCATGATCCCTAGCTCACAGGACCAGTGGTCAGGGATGATGGGAACTGTAGTCCTAAAACATCTGGAAGGCCGAGTTTGCCTACGCCTGCTGTAAACCATCATCGTGTATAGTAATATAGGAAGGTGGTATACAAAAGCCTCAGCACCTAGGGCTTGCCGATCGAAAGGTCGGCGGTTCGAATCCCCGCGGCGGGGTGCGCTCCCATTGTTCGGTCCCAGCGCCTGCCAACCTAGCAGTTCGAAAGCACTCCCAGGTGCAAGTAGATAAATAGGGACCGCTTACTAGCGGGAAGGTAAACGGCGTTTCCGTGTGCGGCTCTGGCTCGCCAGAGCAGCGATGTCACGCTGGCCACATGACCCGGAAGTGTCTCCGGACAGCGCTGGCCCCCGGCCTCTTGAGTGAGATGGGCGCACAACCCTAGAGTCTGTCAAGACTGGCCCGTACGGGCAGGGGTACCTTTACCTTTACACAAAAAATTAAAAGTGAAATGAAATGAAATCTTAAAGCTCAGCAATAAGAATGTGGGTGCTACCACATTCAGACTATTACTATTAGTTCATCTAGCTCAGTACTGACTGGGGGGGGGGAGCCAAAAATGTATTTCTATTGGGCACCCTGTTCTCCCCACCCCTCCCCTCCCTGGAGAGCATCAGGCCACCAGAGGGTTTTCCAAATGGTCTGCAGCTGCTGCGCTGGCCTAGAACCATATGCTGGATAGCTTTGTAGTATCAAAAAGCAATTAAAGAGCCCAAGAATGCAATAAAAGGCATTACTGCTAGGTTTCAAATCTTCGCGAATTGAGCCGACGGCTCTCCTGTTCACCAGGATTTGGACTGGGTTCATATTTAAAGCAGTATCTTAAGGCCAAATGGGAAAGAAGGGCAAATGGTCAAAGCAAGTTTTTCTTCAAAGGTCAAGACAAAGATTCCTTTGCAAATTGTGTGCTTCTATAGTCTCAGAACACAGAGAGATTTCCCTCCCCACCCCAACACTGAAATATTCTATGGGCAGCTTTCCAAGGAAATGACGAAGGGATTATCTATCAGGCAGTGGCTTACCAAGAGGCTTGCATTCTGCTAAATCACAGCCTAGTGTAACATTTAAATGTAGTCAGTACTGGTAATTACAAAAATAAAAATAAAATAAAATAAATTCTGTGGTGTGCATTTGAAACCATAGAGCTAGTATTTGCAAATGGCTCCAGTGTTCCACTTTTGCTTAATTTGCCTATTTCTCCCCTCTCTTGTGATCTCTAGCACACCTATGATTCTGAACCTGTATATACTGTACATATATACTGCATATACTGTAATATTTATGTCCCAAAATATTCAGAATCTGCCAAGCCTCGGATACTGAGTTTCAAACAAGGAATGCAAATTTAGCAACTTTCTGCAAAACAGGAACATTTGCCAAAAAGAGAGAGTGCTGCATGCATGCAGAATTAGAAATATCTTTGAATTGTTCCTGAGCATATATGCAACCATCACCATTTACACTGTGTGACTACCTCCAATATATAATGCACTTTGTAGACTTGTATATCTGCCCAATGAATGGCGACTTTTGCAAACAGTGAACACCTACCAGCAAAATTACAAGAGTGGATTTATGAAATTTGTCCTCTAAATGTGTTCACATAATAGGGGAACAATTGGTGGCTTATGTGCATTTTCCCCTTAATACATCAGACCAATGCACTATGTGGGTGGCAAAGGCAGACAATGCTGGTCTTGAGTTAAGGAGCCATATATTGTCTGGATCAATCTGCCCAACTTTTATGAATCCACTCTTGTCAGTAAGTACATATCCTTTATTGTGAACATCCTGGGAAACTATAGATTGATAGCATGGCTGGCTTTGAAGGTTTTAGCTCTCCTCTTCCCATTCATTTCCATAATCCAAGACCACCGTGCTTTGGCAATGTGCACATAGTCCTCCTGCTCGGTGACTGTGGCGGCAGTGTTTAAAAGACCACATTATCTGCACATGTTTGTTATAAATGTGCATCCTAGCAAAAAAATCACTATCACACAGATGCTCACACACATGGCTCTATCTTAGAGGTGTCATTCAAACCACCAATCTATTCCTGCAGCCACTGCTAGTGAGATTTTGAAAGCGGGGAAATTACAAGCTTTATTGACCAAAATGTACTACCCCATAAGTTGTGTTGCACTTTTGCTCTCTCACTTTCTCAACATGGCCCACTGTGTTGGGCTTTCCTTAATTTATTGTCTAGATCACTGGTGTGAAGTCTTGTGTTAAAGGCAGATAAAACTAGTGCTATTATACAGATGATACTAATTTCCAGTTGACATAAATGCTTTTGCCTTGAGGAATCAACTAGCTGTGCCATGGGAGATTGGTGACCAGAATCTCCTGTTGCTGTTGTTTTTCACTTCAAAGCAGCTATGAAGGGCTGTTAATTTGGTCCTGGATAGGGGATGCTTAACCATTTCATCCTATGCTGTTCTCTGGACCTAAATTCCCTACTCCCATCCCAAGTTATTAGCTCTGCAGGAGGAAAAAAGCCATGTGCAGATGCTTGTTGTTTGATGCTGATCTGAAAACAGCTTCCCTGTGGCTAGCTTCATGTCTTGCAACACAGTGTGCCGCTCTGGGCCAGAGGGGAGCCTGTTGCCTTATCACTTAATTAAATTACTCTGAAAGAATGCCATATAAAGGAACTAAATACCTAACAATGCACAAAAGCAGTTTCCTGCAACAGGAATCACAGAAGATCCTCAGTGGCCTTCTAGATGCTACTAAAATGAAATAACCTCCTGTATGTTATTTTTGGGGCACTTCAAAGCACCTCCTAATGCAGAAAAGGCAAATGTTTACAAATGTCAGGAGGTTTCACCTCTGCGTGTGACCCTCGACGAACAGACTTCACCACAATGGCTTTGTTCTTGTCTTCTATGTCGAAGCCATAGTCATCCTCTTCTGGCAAGACCTTGGAAAGGAGGAGAGAGGGAAAAATAACTTTGACAAATCTGTGAGCTGTTTCACCAACCAATGAGTTTGGTCCTCAGTTATGTAATTGTTGGTTGCTGTTTCAATGGCATGGTTTGCATGTCACATTAAACCATTGTTTAAAACAAACCATGGTTCAGCGTGAACGCACAGCTTGTGGCTCCATGCTACTGTAAAGTTCTCATTGCACTCCACTTCTGCTGGCTTGTCGTGATATCTAAACCGGGTCTCATGGTTTGTTTCCTCAAAACAAACCATAATCAGTAAGCCAAGAACAGACCTTGGACTGAATGTTTACATTCAACCATTGTTATTTTTCAACTATGGTTTAATGTGACATGTGAACTGAGTTAGTGTCTTCTTTCTTCCTGATCCTTAACATGAACACACACACACACACACACACACACACACACACACACACACACGAGACCTAACACAGTTGTTCTTGCAACACAACATGTATTGAAATGCAGGATTAATCTATGGGCACCCAGGATTGAGGACCAAATCAGATACAACAGTGGCAGATAGGTGCTTCACTGAAACATGGATGTGAATAGGTCTTATTATAATAGCAAAAGCAGCACAAAGGAGAAAGATGTAGAACTTTTTTGCCCTTCCGCCACTTGTCTCCCCTAAGTCCATTGCCTCAAGCACTTTCCTCCAATCCTGGCTCATTTCCAGCATTAGATCACAGAATGGAGAATTGCATCTGGAGCAATTAACCACAGAGAGCCTAAGGCCCAGGAGGGAGAATGGTTAGCATCGCACTCCCCCACAATCTTTTTACAGTTAACACACACACACAGAGATGTGCACAGACTTCACATGTGAGCAGGGTTCACACATGAATAATGGTCCTGCCCCATTTAGCTCTGGCCTTCAGTCTTTTGACTTGTAAGCCAACGTGACTGCTAAGCCCAATGCAGCCCACTAGCCATGTATTGTGTCTCACCTGCCTGAGCCTGGAAAAACAAACAGGATGCTCAAAAACCCAGCAGGTTACATTTGGTTTGCCAGATTACACACACAAAAAGTAAACAGTCAGGAAAACTTCTCATAAACATGTTGTCCCACTCTGCCCCTCTTCACTGTCCAAGTAGGGGGCAATAGTGAAGGTTCGTGGATACAATAGCAGGGAGAGGCTTTCTCTCTCTCTCTTCCTCCCTGTCAACCAATCACTGTTGCTAATAGGGTGATGGAGTTACTATGGGCAAGAACCTCCTTTAGACCCTTGAACCTCATCAGGGTATTGGGAAGTATGATGAGGTAACAGGGAGAGGAGAAGAATACAAAGGAGTGGGATAATGTTCTCTGTTCTTTTCTGAGTGAAAGGAAGGGTAATTTTGTGTTTGGGGATGGAAGGAAATGTGGACTTTGAGAGATGTGGGAGGGTGGTGGAGATGGCAGTGGGATTCTCCACAAGCTCAAATCAAAAATTTTGAGCAGAAGGAAAATTTTGGCGCTTTTAAAGCTCTTTTTGATTTTGAGGTATGCTTCAGTCTCCAAATTCCACTTCCAACCTTGACTAGGAAGAAATTCACCAGCCTCTCTAGTCTCAACATTTCTCATTTATGTATGTTTCAACTTCCAACCAAATCCCCCTTCTCTGCCTGCCCACCCCCATGTGAGGCTGCTCTTGAAAACTACCTGGAAACTTCCATTTATTCAAAATGAGGCAAACTGCATGTTTTCATACGGAAAAGGCTCCCAATGTATTTCTGTATATTTTTTAAGGTGTCGCTCTTAACCTTTAAGACTGCAAGCGAAATTGATAGTGAGGATAAGCAGGGCATTTCCAGCAGTGGCCCCCACATTATGAAACTCTCCATAGAGAGTACTAGTAGTTCAGCTCCATAAAAATGTCAGCACGAGTGTTTCTACTCAGCAGTATCTGGAGGGGGTTGGACTGAATCTTAACCTGAGGTGGCTTAATCTATGGTGACTACTCTGCTTCAGTTTTTTGTAAGTTGCTTAGATTTTTTAAATTTTGTGTTAAGCAACTAAGAAGTTATATAAACTGACAAACAAATAATGAAATAATATGTTCTTTGTTTTGTGTTTTTGTCTTATAAATTGCGTAGCAGGATTGGTTGAATTTGAGAATAAAATTCTAATAAGAAATAAAATTTAAATCTGAAAATTGCACCAAACCTTTACATGATCTGCTCGGTAATAAACATCACAAGAATGTTGGGTTAGGGTTTGGGCGGAGGAGTTTGCTACAATTCCTTTTTTCAGTGCTTAGAAGATACAAAGGTCATTATGTACTTGTGGGTCAGTGCTATTAGCTCACCAGTTTCCTTTTGTTGCAGCACTTCATTATGGCAGAAGATTAAGGAAACTAAGCCTCCTTCCTGGCAGGAGTTGAAATATACAAGACAACAGTACCTCTGGCTCAAAACAAGCAAGACAATGCCGATTCAGGAGCCGGTGAAGTTAAGGGGAGACAGTGAAGAAGAAGAAAAAAAACCCTGCTTACAAAACAACACTGAGCAAGTCTGTTCACTACAAAGAGCTCACTGGTGAAGCACTAGCCTTACAAGTGGCCCAGGTTTCATCTTCCAATACAATCCACCCTTTGTGCCCATAAGTTCTGGAGCCAATTGAAACTGGATGGAGGACTCATTTGCTTCCAGCTTGCCATTTTTCATTTGGAGAGGCTACAGGGGGATTGCCTGCCTGCCTGAAAAAAAAGCATGCTCACAACAGTGTTTTTTCAAAGCAATGGGATGCGAGAGCTGTAATTAGCTCTACAATTTGACTGGATTCATGTGGGGAAAGCCCCAGGAAACCTTGACCCTTGGGCAAGCTAAACAAAGCAAAGTACTTTTAATACTATGTCTTGGTCATTTACTGTGGCTTAAAATAGTTTCAATGAAAATAACAGTTTAACCTCTCTTCACATTTAAAAAGGGAAGTTAAAAGGGAAAAGCAATTTGCCACAAGGCCGAGTAACGTTGCTGTTTTCTATCAGGTCATCCGCCAAGGCGTAGGGGTGCTGGGAGATGCCTATGCCCTTAAAAAATAAGTTTTGTTGAGTAACCATCAATCTGCTTTTCAGTGAGGATCTACCCAAATCAGCTCCCGAACAAATCAGCTCCCGAACGGCACAAACCCAGAAGTAATTGTTCCGGTTTGCAAACATTTTTTGGAAGCTGAATGTCGGGCATGGCTTCTGCGGTTTCTGATTGGCAACAGGAGCTTCCTGCAGACAATCAGAAGACACCTTGGTTCTCAAACCATTTCAGGAGTTGAATGGACTCCCAGAATGGATAAAGTTCGGGAACCAAGGTTCCACTTTATTTGCCCATGCTTTCCAAAAATAATAATAATTAAGAGTGAGGCTCTTTAATACACTCTGTTTCTGAATTATTATTTTTCTATTGTGGTTTTACCTTGCTGTTTTACTTCATGTTTTATGGTGGCTTATTATTACAGTATTTTAATTTAAATGGTAGATCATAAGTGCTTTCAATAAACACATGCATAAAAATAAACAGGGCTACTGGATACTACATAAGTTGCCATCTCTGTAGAAGGTCTATTTGTTTCATGATGAAACTTCCCAGACCAACCCCAGAGTCTTTACATTCCAGTTCTGAAGCCATCATTTATGAACAACAAAAGAGATATCCTAACACTGGTACATTTTTAGTATCTGGAATTAGGCCTAAGATTTAATTTTCCTGAACTATGTAGAGAATTTTGTATGTTTTTCCAGCATTTCATGTTTCATGCCAATGAACAGAAACAATTGCACAAGCAAACGAAATTAAGTATTTGTTTGAAGAGTGTTTGCTTCACACTGGAACAATTTGCCTTTTGGCATCTGCACATGTCACTTGGCAGAAAACATCAGCTGTTCTTTCCAGTGTTAGGTCAGAACAGGGGATAAAAGACAAGGGGGAATAGAGAGGCAGTCGATTTCTCCTTATGCAATTTGGTATCTGTTGCAAAAAAAACCCAAAAACATAGCGCATTTCAAAAGCCATTCGACTGAGACAATCCATCTTGTTTAAAATTCAGAAGGAACGTAGTGATGGATAAAGGTGCAGATGATGTAATTCATCCTTTCCCAACCTGGTACCCTCTAGATGTTTGGACTGCAATTGCCATCAGCCCCAGCCAGAACAGCTGTGGAAAGCACCACATTGGCGAATGCTCCTGCAAGGCAAGGCAGCATCCCAGCCTAGAAACCAAAGAATTCTAACTGTTCCTTCCTGTTCAGGGCCCACTGGAGAGGACACACCAGAGTGCACTTTGCCAAGAACCTCTTCAGACGCATAGATGACCTTCAACCTAGATCTGCCACAGAGTATGCAACTCAACAGGGAGCGATCCCTGATGAAATTAGCTCTCTGGTGAAGTACCTACAGTATATGACGAGCACATTTTCAAACATGTTTGCCTGCAAATACCTGTTTGTCACAGTCTACATTCTAGGACACATGCTTAGAATGTCCTAGATGCACACCTGAAAAGGTAATGTGTGAGGTGGCACAAAATGGGACTTGTGACCCGTTTGCAAAAAAGCCTGGCTAAAAATAATTGGTCAATAATTCCTCCAAATTGCTTATTTGAACAGGACTTTTTGTTTGTTATTTAATTCTTTTAATCTGCCCTGAATTGCAGATGGAAAGGCACAGTTAAAGCCTTTCAAATTGTTGTTGTTGTTGTTGTTTTATTAACTGCCCTGAACTTCAGTTCGCTGGAAAGGCAAAAGAAAACTCTTTTAATAGGAACAACAATATTTCCCCTTATATATTGACTACCAAAGATCATTTAAAGAACCTGCAGTTAACTGGCAAAACAGAGCATCAGCTGAAAAGGTTCATGCTTGTGAAACTCTTGTTCCATTTGAAATCCCCAAGAGTCCCTGCTTCACTGCAGACCTTGAAGTAGGCCCTAAAAATCCATTTGTTTACAAAAGCCTTCTCTTAAATGATGATTATATTCTGTTGCAGTATGTGTATTTTAATTGCATTCTTAGTGTTTTATGGTTTTAATTACATACACCATGCGTGGGTTTGGCTTTAAAAAGCAGCCAATGAATATTTCTAAACATATATAAATAAATCAGATCTGTAGACAATACATAGCAAATGAGAAATATGTCTATTTTTTTTCAAATTGGGAGGAAAGGGTGGGTGGCCATTGCGGAACTGTTCTTTTAACAACCTCCTGGTATTAAGGGACTCAGCAGTAAGTAGTATGATACAGTGCACAGACTGCAAGTTTGAAAACTCAATTTCTCTCTTTGCTAGCTGCAATCTGTGGCTGGAGGGGCAGAGGCAACGAAGCAATGGAGAAAGAAACAACACTGTGGATATGAATGTCTGCTGCAATAAGAAAAATACAGAGCAGCAGCATAAGGGCAGCTGAAGCCATCCACTGGGATACACTTATTCTCCTTAATGGACCTCTGGATCCTTTCCCATGCTTTTTCCAGGCACTCTTTACTGCACTTCCATTTTGCTATTATCCGCAAAGAGTGTGGCACAGGCTCTGGCCCACTGTCAGGAAATAAGCTTGTTTAGACAGAAAAAGAAAAAGGTAATCAAGACTTTTTAAATGATCCATTCAAAAGTGCAACAGAATGGAGCAAGAGCTTATAGAATCAGAATGACAGACCTGAGATACCTACAAATCCAGATGCGAATAGAAAACAAGTGGAAAGGAAGTCACTGCTTTGTGCACACATGGTTAAGAAGCAATAGCACACAATCAACATCAGTTCTGTAAGTGAAAATGCCCTCACATTGTGTTCCAAAATACAGCGGTACCTCTACTTAAGTTCACCTCGGGTTACGTATCCTTTAGGAATCGGCACCTCCGGTTGTGAATTCCTCGGGATCTGACCGGAGCTCCGGAACAGATCCCATTCACAACCGGAGGTACCACTGTAATCTCTTCTTACTTGTTTTCACTTGAAACTGGTTTAAGAGACATTAACGACCAAATCTCACAGAGCTGCTCGTGGATCTATTTATCAGTTTTCAGTATTCCATGACACTCTCTAGAATGACCAAAACACATAAGTTTGGGTGGAGTAACACATAGATTTGATTCTCACTGTATGAAGTCAAGGGGGTTAGGGAGTCTAACCACTCCAGATATGTTTCTGAGCACAGCCCTGTGCACCCACTATCCATGCATAAGGCCACTGCTTGGAGAAGGAGAGAGCCTTCTCCCAAAGTAACTTGCACTGGCGGTGCTGTTCCATTCAGTGTGTTGTCTGCAAAGCGATACCAATGAACAAGTCATTAAACACGTGGAAAGGGAGCTTGTTCATGGGGAAAGCCTAAATGGATTGTGTGGGTCACATGCAGGCACCCCTTGCAGAAAGCATGGATATCAAGGGTCAGAGGCAGGTGCACATACAGTGTTGGGACAGGACCAGCAGCACTCTTCCTTGTTCACGTGATAGCCAATTCACAGATTACCGTATTTTTCCCTCTATAACACGCAGATTTTTTCTCCTAAAAAGGAAGGGGAAATGTCTGTGCGTGTTATGGAGCGAATGTGTGGTCCCTGGAGCCAAAAAAACAGACAAAACTCAAATCGCGAGTCACGGAGAAGGGAAACCTGAAAAGAGGAAGTGGCTGCTTTCCTGCATTCTGCCTCAGGGTCTTACTGCCCACCCTCCTCTGTTTCGTTGCTGTGTTTGCTGAAACGGAACAAAGAGCAGGGAAAGCCCCTCCCCTCCAGGCAAGCAGAGGGGAAAGCAGAGTGTGTTCCTTCTAATTCCTCTCTGTGCTCCGGTGCTGCTGGGGGAGAGGGAGAGAGAGGGGGGGAGGGAGAGAGGGGGGGAGAGAGAGGGGGGGAGGGAGAGAGAGAGAGAGAGAGATGGCTGGCTGGCTTGGGTGGGGAAAAACTTTTGCCTTTCTTTCCTCTCTCCCGTTAAATCCCTCTCCTGCATTCTTAGCCAGCTGCTTCTCTGCACACCCCTCTCATGTCCCTTCTTTGTTTTTCCTTCGCTCCCCACTTAAAATGTGGTTACAAAGCATAGATCCACATGGATCCTCAGGATCTTAGCATTGGGTCACCCCAAATTCACCATCAGATCACATAGCATGTCCATGGCTACAGCCTGCACCAAAAAAACCACGCACCCACTGTTGCCTGGGGCTGCAATGGTGCAAAAATGTGGTTAAAAAGCATGGATCCACATGGATCCTCATGATCTTTGCATTGGGTCACCCCAAATTCACCATCAGATCACATAGCATGTCCATGGCTACAGCCTGCACCAGAAAAAGCACGCACCCACTGTTGCCTGGGGCTGCAATGGTGCAAAAACGTGGTTACAAAGCATGGATCCACAGGAATTCTCAGGATTTTTGCATTGGGTCACCCCAAATTCACCATCAGATCACATGTCTGTGGCCACAGCATGAAGCACAAAAATGATACATCCACTGTTTCATTCAGAATGTTTTTTCCCTTGTTTTCCTCCTCTAAAAACGATGTGCGTGTTATGGTCAGGTGCGCGTTATAGAGCGAAAAATACGGTACATAAGATCAGACAAACAACATGTTAGCATTGCAGGGAGAGGAAACTGCAATATATCTCTTGGCAAAGACATGCTTCTTCCCCCAAGAGCTTCACAATCTACAATCTAGACATACACACACAGTCATAATGATGGGCTTTAAAAAAAGAAGTAAGTGTATCAGAAGCTCTTCCTTACCAACAAGCTTTTAGCTAAGATGTTTTCAATCAGCTTGAAGTCGTTTCGCAATGGCTTGCTCTTGGAACTTGTACCTTCCATCTCCTCATCGGCATGGAAGCGGAAATACTGAGACTCGTCTTTGAATTCGCTCTTCTCCAGAACTTGAAACCAAAAAGTGGAAAGCGGGTAGATATGTCAGTACATGCCAAGCACAACAGGAATATAAAAGCAACATTGCCATTTAAAATAACAACAACAACAATGACAAACAGGTCACCAACATCAACAGACAATCATATATTCTTTGTTCTTACAGCTATTGAACCCACTAGTCTGATCCTCCCAATGCATGAAGTTACATGGTAGGATTCTATATATCCACTTTTCTCTTGCAACATAGACGGAATTGTTTTTGGTTTAAAGGTGACATGTTGCAACTCATTTTGAAGCACATAGCTTTTTTTTTTTTAATCTCATCAATGGGAACTTTCTGAAAGGGCAATAAATAGGGTGCTTTTTAAAAAGAAAAATCACTGTAAAAAAATCACACCTTGCTTTGCATATGAAAAGGGCAAACATGATTACCAGATGGATGCTAAAGAGTCATGACCTCTGAATCACATCTCTCCACTCTTAACACCTCCATAGAGTTCTCTGATAGCGCTTTCCCTATCCTGCTAGTCCCAGTAGGACAAACATGCTCTCCTCTGCAGTAGGTCTGACACACTGTCCCTGCAGACGGGCATGAGTCTAGGCTGTGTGTAGCTGACACAGAATTTGAAATATCCAAGGGAGGACACGAAACAACGGCTGCTTTTCATCCATGTCTTGGAAGAACTCCAGTTAGTAAACATAGGTCCATTGTGAGGTTTCCAAAGGCCAGCCAACTCCATAGAAAGATAAGAGAATGGCCATAGAACTACATTAACTTCTCAGCTGTGTCTCTTCTCCTTCAGCAGTGTTTTGTTTTTGGTTTAACTATTTTCTTGGCTGGAATTCATTGAACCAGAGAGGTCATGTCCTAATATACTCCTTCATCTTCTGGGGCCATGCCACAGGTTGCAGCTATAACAGCTGATGTGTGGAAGAAGTATAATAAAAATCTGTAGACGGCTTGTTAGACTTGAAGTCAGTTGACCCATAACCTGCTAGACTTTGGCCACCATCTGTTGTTGATACTGCACCACACTTGGACCATTGTGATCAGCAGAGTATGCACAGGTCCAGCAGAACATCAGAGTTTTCTTGCTTTCCAGTAGTCAGTTCCCAATCTATTCTCAGTTGAGAAAACTCCTTTCCCACTCAGTTCAGACCCTCCAAGTGTCCCTATTTTACAGGGACTTACAGAAGTTGTCCCAGTTTCTGATTTGATCCTGGAATGTCCCTATTTTCATTGGAGAAATGTTGGAGGATATGGAACTATGCGACTTCCGAGCTGAGATAAGTAACTATACAACCTTTAAAAGACATCTGAAGGCAGCCCTGTACAGTGGTACCGCTGTTTACGAACTTAATTCGTTCTGGAGGTCCGTTCTTAACCTGAAACTGTTCTTAACCTGAGGTACCACTTTAGTTAATGGGGCCTCCCGCTGCCAGCACGCAATTTCTGTTCTCATCCTGAGGTAAAGTTCTTAACCCGAGGTACTACTTCCAGGTTAGGGGAGTCTGTAACCCGAAGTGTTTGTAACCCGAGGTACCACTGTATAGGGAAGTTTTTTAATGTTCAATGCTTTATTGTGTTTTTATATATGTCAGAAGCTGCCCAGAGTGGCTGGAGCAACCCAGTTAGATGGGCAGGGTATGAATAATAACGTTGTTGTTGTTGAAGAGGACATCCCTATTTTCATTAGAGAAATTTTGGAGGGTATGTCAGTTCCGTTCAAAGTATAAGGTGTTTATTGTATTATGTAAAGGACAAGCATGAACACCCTAGCTACATTAACTTCAAGAGATGCTGGTACATCATGAACTAATCTACTATAATAAAGTTCTTCTGGTCTTAGGAGTAAACCTTACAAGGATACAAGTATACAGAGAGATCCACTAGCACTTTACCTTGCTAGCTCACCATACTATATTGAACCCATACAGCATGTAACCTTCAGGTTCTCTGCTGATCCCTTGCACTGAGCAGAAAACCTCTTCTCAGTGAATACCTGACACTCCTGCCAATGATGCAGAATGCAGCCTTGCCTTTGCGCATACACACATTCCTTAGAAAAAGGGAGGATGGGTGAGTCATGCTCCAGGCATTTAGCCTTGGACTGGTTCTAAGCCACTCAATGCAGTTGATGTGCTAACTCTAAACAGAATCCAGGCATGGGGTCTGGGCTGCTCCAAACTACACCAACATGGCTGTACATGCACCCTGATAGAAGCACAGAATCTTACAAGTTGGAAGGGACCCAAGGGTTAGCTCCTACAATGCAGGAATCTCAGCTAAAGCATCCATGACAGATGACCACCCAACCTCTGCTTAAAAACCTCCAAGGTAGGGGAGTCCACAACCTCTCGCGGGAGTCTGTGCCGAACAGCTCTTACTGTCAGAAAGTTTTTTCCCAAATGCTTAGTCAGAATCTCCTTTCTTGTCATTTGAAGCCACTGCCTTGAGTCCTACCCTCCAGAGCGGGAGGAAACACCCATACACCACAAGCTGCTCTCTGTTTTCTTCCCTTTATTTTCTGAGTTCGTCCTGAACAAAAGCACTATATATGAACACACCCTGTGGTCACCTCTCCATTGCTGTGACATTTGGTCTAACTGAACAAAGAACAGAGTAGAAGGAAAGTGCATGTTTGTGAGCATAGACAGTTCTTAGTTCAATTCCTAGAATACAGGCCTGGCACAAGAACGCAGCTGCCAGACTTTCTTGAGGGCCCAACCTGGAGCCAGTCCTGCCAGCATCTCAATGTAAATGATCTTAGGCAGGACTGATGGAAAGGTCCCCTACCTAAGACCATGGAGGGTAACTGCAGGTTAGCAGGGACAAAATGAACCAGTGGTCTAATAGTATACAATAACATCTTATATAATGAACTCCACCCACTACTGATGTAGGAAAACTAAATCTCAGCTAATACCTGCTTATCTTCTTACTAAAACATACATACTGCAAGCCATGTAGAGTTTTAGTCACAAAGACACAAATACACCCTTGATTCAAAGAGAACATTTGGAAGAGTAAAAATGATTAAGTTTTCACACATGGAGGTTCAAATCGTAGGGTTTGCCTTTTTAGAAATAGCTTTCTTTTTATAGCTCTCAAATGGATGTCTGGGGCCACTTCAGTGTCTAAAATACAATAGCAGGGGTGGGAACAGAAAAAGAAGAGGGAAATGAATGACATTAATCAAAAGCTGCCTGACAATGGGCTCGGGGTCTGAGAGCTGCACCATGAACAAAGGAAAGGTGTAGGGAAATGGCTGGATGTGGGGAGATCAGTTTTCATTTGGGGGCAGATCTTCACTGCTGAATGGGAAGCAATCAGGACATAGGGCATTGCTTGCAAATTGCATTTGTGTGTGTGTGTGTGTGTGTGTGTGTGAGAGAGAGAGAGAGAGAGAGAGAGAGAGAGAGAGAGAGAGAGGCAGAGGCAGAGGCCTATTCGGTCTAATTTGCTCCCTTACGTGCTTGAAGAGAAATGTTTTATCAGTTGCTTGGAATGGACTGGAGGAGCACTGTTATGCCCCAGCACAGACAGATGATCTGGTCAAAATCTACCTCAGACTTTACAGAAGAGGCAAAGACAGAATAAGTGAAGTCTGAGGTAAATTTTCAATAAATTATTATTGAAACAAACTGAACAATAAAAATAAGTTCTCTTATTAATTACTAATTCCTTTCTACCTTGATTTAACACACACGCCCCAACCCTCAGAGACTTCAACCAAATGAATTGGAAGTGGTGGCGCTTGGTTTTTACATCCCTGCTTTTACCCGCTAACGATGGGTAGGGGGTATCACAGCAAGGTGGGGATAAGCAAGGCAAAGAGACCACATAAATTCACTCGCGTCCCCCAAGAGGGCTTTTTTTATGAGGAACTCCCTCCCCCCCCCCAAAAAAATGTGATTTTGAAAAGTAAGAATTTGTCTTTTAAATAATAACTATATTTTTATTTAATTGTTATATTTCTATTTTATTTTTGGATCTGACTGCTTCTGTGGGCCCCCTGCTGTGATGTCATGATCCACAATCCACCCAAAATGTGTCCTTATTTTTTTTAATTGAATGTGGCCATATTTACACTTTAGCCACACCCACTTCCCCACTTTGCGACTCCCTCTTTGCCATGCAGCCCCTCAGAGCGTTTCGCTCTGGCCTACAAGAAGAGCCATGGCCCAACTCCTGGCAGGTCTATCACCGTCATCAGTCATCTATAGTTATTTGCAGGCTATTTTCAGGACACACTTTCCTGTGGCACAACTGCCCTTTGCTTATGCACAGTGATCGGCAGGGAGCCGGTGGTAGAGGCCCTCCCCTTGGTCTCTTCCAGCTGCATAATGTTCTGCGTGAAGCAGAAGATACCCTACAGGTTTGTGTACACCTTGCAGTTTTAATGCAGATGGCAAAATGGTTTGACTGTTAAAGGCTTTTGGCTCTCCTTCCATCTTGCAGGCCCGGTTCGGTGGCTGTTTCGTACTCTGCACTGGTGGCAACATTATGCAGCAGAAGGTTCTGCCACATTTCCTGGTTAATGAGACAATGTGAGGTCCCTGTTAATTGGCTAGGAGAAGGGGATATTGATGAATTACCATGGTGCATGAAGCCATTGTTGCAGAATCCAACGCCCAGCGCGACAGCTTCCTCCCTCGTCTGACAGTCTCCCTGGTAACAAGAGAGGACAAATGTTACACCTCAGACCACTTCCTAATTCACAGAACTCCCCCCCCCCCCCAGTCTGTGACCGGGTCCCAGCTCTCAAATTAGTGCGGCACTCTTTGCAAAGAAACAAAAGTAAGCAATTAAAACGGGACTCCCTTTGCCTGAACCCCATTCATTCCTATATATAGTGCCTCTTGCCTCCCACAGGAATTGGAAGCACAAAGACCAGAGCTCCGGAAAGCAGCTGTTTTAACAGTACAAACACAGCACATTACCTCAATGCAGAGACCTTCTTTAACTGGCAATTGCAATAGTCTGAATTTACTGCCCATTGGCTACAGACAATAAAACACCTCTTTAGAGTAAGAGGAAGCCAAATCCACGATAGAACGAGGGTGAAGACTCCTCATTCAGACTTCCCAAAGGCCAGTTTTAATACAATTTCTATATGACACTGTTGCCCCCCACAGAGAAAACCACGTCTGCTTTAAAAAGAAATAACCCATACCCCTGCCAGTCACATTATTTGAATGATGAATGTTAGTGTACAATATTTCCAGGAATGATGCAATGGGTGTTTCTGGCTGACCTGGAAAAGCAGAAAAAAATGTTTGCTTTGGTGCCTGATTTGTGTCGGTAGTCAACTGAAGTAGAACCACACCGGCATAGCTCCATGAGGGAAGCTGTTGATATGAGCCTTTTCCCATGTGTACCAGGCAGTTTTACAACCATTAAGTGAACTCCCCTTCCTCACTGAAAGAGATTCTTCTTCGTGCTCCATCCCCATTTAAACCTGGACATACTTTCCCCTTCCGCGGTGATAGCAATAGCTATGTCACACAGCTAAGGAAACTTAACTCCTATCATAACATATTTTGTACTGGAACAGTCAACAGCATTGCTGCAACCTATCCATAAATATTTCTTGCTTAGGTCTAAAAGGTAAAGGGACCCCTGACCATGAGGTCCAGTCGTGACCGACTCTGGGGTTGCGGCGCTCATCTCGCTTTATTGGCAGAGGGAGCCGGCATACAGCTTCCGGGTCATGTGGCCAGCATGACTAAGCCGCTTCTGGCAAACCAGAGCAGCACACGGAAATGCCGTTTACCTTCCCGCCAGAGTGGTACCTATTTATCTACTTGCACTTTGATGTGCTTTCGAACTGCTAGGTTGGCAGGAGCAGGAACCGAGCAACGGGAGCTCACTCTGTTGCGGGGATTCGAACCGCCGACCTTCTGATTGGCAAGTCCTAGGCTCTGTGGTTTAACCCACAGCGCCACCCGTGTCCCTCTGCTTAGGTCTAAAATCTGACTAATCACTTTATTTCAGGGAGTCACCATCATGGTGCTCACAGGTCCCAATGCTGTGTTCAGGCCCTGCTTGAAGGCTTCCTATAGGCTAATGTGAATGTTCGCTTTGTCAATAAAGACTTAAACTACCAGCTGTTTGTCCTCCTTGGGCTGGGTGTGCTCAGGACAGCAACTAGTTCACACAAGAGAACCTCAATCTGATCAGTCTGAGGATCTAATAATGTCTCTTATTTGAGACAACTGTGCACCGAACCTGCCTGTTTTAGTTATTGGTACAAACTGCTGCTATAGAAACTTCTCACCTCATGAGAGGAGAGAAACACAAATTAAGTTCTGGGACTGCTTTGCTTCCCCTTTTTCCGTTGAAGCACTTCCTTTTCCCTGCAACTAAGAGAAGGGGAAAGCGGTTGGGCCACAATGCAAAAAGAAACAAAACAACTTGGTAGCATCAATTCCCTTTTTCGTTTCTAGCTGCTTAAATAGAAGTACTATTTGAAAGGTGAATGGACAACAGCAACTCTCTCCTTGCTGAGGAGAGGTTTGCAATGTGTGCCTGTAGTAGCTGTAATGTGTGCCTGTAGTAGCTGTTAGAACCAATAGCTGCAACAAGTGCAAGGAAACTTAGATAAATGTAGCAGCTGCCATGCATGTAATATGTGAAAACTGAGACTAGGCTGTATTTGTCTATGCACTAAGACTAGTCTAGTACTGCTTTCAGCTTCAACAAACTCAACAAACACAGAAGCTACTGCAAACATCACAAAATGCTGCAAGTGTTGACCAGATCTCTTTCTCAATTTTCCTATAGCACAGGCAAACCAGAGGGTAGTATCAAACTACATGAAACTTTTTCACATTAATATAATTTCTAGGCTTAACTTACATTTCTCCCCCCCCCCTCCCCATACAATTTCCTGCCCCAGGGCTTTCTGTGAGTTAAACGGGGAAATAGTTCATAATCCGCAAGGGGCCACAATGTCATTTTATCTACCCCCAAACTGTGTTTAAATCGAAGAGGAAATGGTTTTTGACACCATTCTTAAGCAAGCCTTTGGGAATCCAATCTGCTTACAAGCAACTGCACGTAAAGTCTTAGAGCAGATGACTTCCCCAGCAAACTTGGCTTGCAGTCATCATAATGCAGCTTGGACTCGGACATTATTTCTTGCAAAACAGCAACTTTCAGGTCAAAGAGGTGACTAAAAATAAAACATTGCAAATCCTCTCTGCATACTCCAGATACCATACAAAGCCTTCCCAAATGGAAAAAGAAGAGCAAAAACAAAGTTTAAGAATGGTTCAGATAACAGAATTTGAATGGCTTACATCTGAGCACAGCTGGAAGCCAGTCTGGGCCTATGGCTGGAACATTGGCAAAGGAGTTGCAGACTACATGGCAAGAGAGCACGTAACTTAGAAACCCACTTAGAATTTCTGGATATTAAGTGGCATATAAATACTTGGAATAATATTGAATAATAAGGCTTGTATCCAATGTAGCACCTATGCCTCTTGTTCCGTTGGTGCAAGGATTTCTTCTTGTATAACAGAACTCACCACAACCACCATACAACCCCTAAATCTCTTCTGGGAGTTCTCCCAAGCCTCCAAAGTAGATCTCGGAAGAGCACGGGGAGGAGAGGGAGGGGAAGTTCTGTTGTGCAAGGGTAAATCCTTACAGTAATGGAACGAGTGCAGTACATACCATCCTAATACTTGTCTCTAAATGTTTAGCCTCAACAACAACAAAAAACATTTTTAAAAATGTTTTTTTCTGATTTAAAATGTGCTGTTGTATTATTTGCAGAGTCTGTATGCCACTGATGGCTAGCTACTGGGAATGTCAACAGGACAGGGCTACTGCCTGCATATTCTGCTGGTAGGCATCTAAGAAGCATCTTATTCTTCTATTCAATTATGGCAAAATGTTGCTTTCTTTCCAATGCTTGGCACACAGGACTGACACCACAATCCAAATGAGCTTGATTAGCTTGATCTGCCTGCTAAGTCAAAGGCAGGACCATATAACACCGTTGTAATATAAAGGTATGTGATCTTGTTCTGGAATAGCAATACACGCCCTGCCAGGTTACTCACTTTTTTATTATTAAAGATTAAGCACATTTTAGAACTTAATCCGTGAGAAAATGAAAGGGGGAAGCCTGGAACATACATACATATCTTGTTTCCAATAGGAGTGGGAGGCATATATTTAAGGGGAAAGCTGACTCTACAGGCCATGTGGGAACACCAAAGTATCCAGAAGGCACGACAGCAGGAAACCCCAGGAAAGTTATGTTTCCTGCTTCTAGAAGTTGCAGGACTTATTGCTACATATGCAGCACGTCCATATACATTTCTAGCCACAGCATAGGGGTCAGACACTTCTCTTTTGACTAGTGGACTATTTTTTTCTCCAGTATCTATGTAATTTGGGGCACACCAATGCTCTTTTCTAAGGGACACGGGTGGCGCTGTGGTCTAAACCACAGAGCCTAGAGCTTCCTGATCAGAAGGTTAGCGGTTTGAATCCCTGCGACAGAGTGAGCTCCTTTTGTTCAGTCCCTGCTCCTGCCAACCTATCAGTTCGAAAGCACGCAGTGCAAGTAGATAAATAGGTACCGCTCTGGCGGGAAGGTAAACGGTGTTTCCATGCACTGCTCTGGTTCACCAGAAACGACTTAGTCATGCTGGCCACATGACCCAGAAGCTGTCTGCGGACAAATGCCGGCTCCCTCGGCCTACAGAGTGAGATGAGCGCTGCAACCCCAGAGTCGTCTGCGACTGGACCTAATGGTCAGGGGTCCTTTACCTTTTTTTAATGCTCTTTTCAGCACTTGCTTTGAGCCAGGCCAATGGCTATACACTGTCCACCATCTACACAGTATTGAATAGCTCAGTCAGGAGAACATGAGACTCTTCAAAGCAGGGTTGTGGGTACAAGTACCACCCTGGACAAAGAGATTCCTGCATTGCAGGTGGTTGGACTAGATGACCCTTGTGGTCCCCTTCCAACCCTACGATTCTATGATTCCCTGAAATCTTGGGGAACTATTGTCACTAAGTGTCAACAATATTGACCAAGACTGGCCAACAGTATATATTGGTCCAAAAAATGGCATCGTAACTAGTTATTTCTACTCTGGGACACTCACCCAATTTTACAGCCTTGAGAATTTGGAACTTGGTTGAGCCAAGAATGAGCTCTGGCCATTAATGGTCCAACTGTTCAAATTCCAAGTCTTGCAGCTCAGACAGTCTATACCTGGTCGGATGTTGACATGTTGCTACAATCCTATGCCAAATTTCTCTCTTTTTCCTCCCACGTCAACGGTGTACAGTGGCTGAACGTGCTTTCTTGTGTTAGGCTGACAACATGAACTGTAATGAGGACACTCCAATGGGTCAGCTAACCCTGCTAAGCCTCTGAATAAGAGGACATTACATAATGCTAAGTTTATGTAATATATTACAACTTCAATTGCCAACATGTTTAATGATATTTGATGCCCATTCTGTGCTCTTATAGAAGTTAAGCGCAGAGAAAGTGCCCCTGTCATCTCACATTACGTAGCTGCTTTCAAAAGTTCTCTCAACTCTGGCTATATCTTGTACACAAAAATCAACAAGTTCATTGAGGGGGTGAATATGGATGAAAAATTATATACTCAATAAGGCAGAAAGTGTCTCTTACATGATTGCTTCTCTGGATCTTTAGATATTGATGTGGAAATGAAAACCAGACTCTTCCATTAGTAAGTGATCTCCTTGGCTGTTTGAGCCCAAATTACAAACAGAAGGAACAGTTCTTCAAAACTCTGCCAAGCAATTAAATCTAAACGAGTATAGGGCTATCTTATTTGAAAAATGAAAACTTAAGATATTTATTTGTGCTGGATTCATACGAAGGCTTACTCAGAAGCCTTACTATGTTCACTGATACTTACTCTAAGGTAAGTTTGCACAGGACTGCAGTTTGCATCAAAAATAATAGTATTTTCCATAGTTTTCAGTATCCAAAAATGGCTCTATTAGAAGCAGATTTTTAATAGTTAGCTATGGCATTAGCCCACTACAGGTGTGTATGGTTTATGGGGTGTTAGGGGAGGCAGAGTACTTCTGGTGGGGGACACACCGTGCTCCTTCTTGGGTAGTTGTCCACCTTTGGTCCCCACCCTACACTCAGCTCTCACCTGTGGCTCCTATAAGCTGTCAGCATGCGAAAGTGGCCACACCCTGAGAATGGCTTCGACTGGCTGGCTAAACCAGGTGAGGGTAGCCAATGGGTCTCAAACCCTCAGTGCAGGACTTCCCCTACATGCAAAGACAGGCTCTGGTGCATTGAATGGATGGGACCCATAATGGGTCCAACAGTCAAGAAGTGCATGTGCTGCAAAGGGAAGTGAGGGGCAGATGAGGCCCGTCAACCTGGGAAGGTAGCCCACCTAGGAGAAGGAAAACTCTGGTCCTAAACCTCTACTGCCTTGTGGGATATCTTCAGGAGAAGAAAAGGCTATAGAGTAAACCCTACATAAATCCGGAGTGGAGCCCTTAAGACGGTTGGATGGCACCTTGTAATGCCTCCTTTTGGCAACTCCTGCAGCCAAACTGGTGCCAAGCACCTTTCTCTGCTTTCCTTTGGACCACATTGGCGAGGCTGATGCTTCAATGTAATAAAACTGTGAAAGGTGCAACAGCTGAAGCAATACATCAGCATACGTATGCTGTCATTACCTGAGCAATCAGCCAATCCACCAGCTTGCTTGCTGGGATCACTGACTTGTAGGTCTTCAAGTGGTAGTCTCGGTCTCTACAGAAAGAAAAATGGAAAGCTCATTAACAACGTGGTTGTTAGTAACATGAGCAATGTCGTAACTTAGGCAGAAAGAGTAATTATAGAAAGGAAATTTCTCTATCCTGGGGAAACCCAGCCAGATGGGTAGGGTACAAATAATAAATTATTATTATTATTATTACTATGCAATTTATAGTTCCACTAATCACCACACTGAAATTCTTGGCAGTTCCCATGGACATTCCACGCAGGGCAGGGAATCCCAGGCATTACTAGGCTGCTCCCACTGAACTCCGGCAATTCATACCAGTCTTAAATCTGTTGGTATGTATAGCATTTGTTGGTATGTATGTACATTTATTATTATTATTTATCATTAGCTAATAAAGGGTTTTGTTTACAGTTCTCCCTGGATACTAATTTCTACCCACCTTCCTAGTACAGAAAGCAATACTTGTTCTTGCATGTTGTTCGCTTAATGCTGTTGGAGCTGATGTATTCAAAAGAAGCCCCTAATGGTATGCCCCAAGGTCAGTAACATTTTCTCAGCTGAAGCGATTATCATTTTTTGAAGTGTGTATGAATCATTTGCTTAATGGATGAAATACACATGTGTGGAAGCATGAGTGTGCACACACAAACACACTCCAGCACCACTTTCCCTGGGGTTACAGTGTCTTCAATTAAACAGAATTCCGATTCATGAAAGGCCTTTGTGCTCCAGGTGCTATTTGCATGACAATGATTTGTCACTCACAACACCACATCTGCTCCATAACTGGGGAATAAGAGGTCAACTGCAAAAAAAGGGGGGAGGGGGGGTTGTGGTCTCTTCCTTTTAGTGAGCATTGCAACAAGGCTTGTTTTCCTCATCCTAAGAATTTGTTTTATGTGATCAGCAGCATTTGGTTTAAGAAACAAACAGACCATGTGACCATGTATCCCTTTTTCAAGCATGGCTAGCTATAGTGCCCATATGAAAGCTAAAACAGGGAATCATTATGTTTCAATACTTCAAATAAGCAGAGAATGTTTTACAAATAATGTTACACATATGAGGAAAGAATGTTTAAACAATGTGCCAAAGTAAGAATTATTTTCTAAGATTACCTCCTATGAATGTTTCACTTTGACCCAGTAGATTGTATCTCAATTCCCGGAGTTCTACCAAATGAAATGATCTGGCACTTATTCCATAAATATTATATATCAGTTGCTTTAGTTTCTGACTGAATTGGAGTACGATTATGATAAGAGGAGGAAAACATGTCTTCCAAACATGTTTGGTGGAAGTAAGCTGAATTTCAGCAATACAAGGTGGTAACGTGTCTGAGATCTGTGTACTTAAAAAGACTAGCTATTGGTATATGGCAGTCAGGATGCTCAATGAGAAATAAGATAGAGGCCAATCAAACTGTGGAGTTGCTTGGAGATTCATGGAAATAATTGTGTATGTCATAAACACGAATCAGTTTGTTGTACAAGTATCTCACCCTGTGCTCAGAGGGTAGGAACAAAAGAATGACCGACATAATGGCTGTGATGTCCTAGGACAGGGATGGGGAATTCATGGTCTTCAGATGTTGTTAGACTGCAACTCCCAGCATCCCTGGCCATTAGCTGTGCTGATGAGTGTCTAACAACATCTGGAGGGCCACGGAACCAAATGAAGTTTATTAAAACAATGCAAAATACAAAACCTATTGGCACAGCTACTCTTGCTAACTGAGACCTAAAGCTTAACCTGTTCCTGTTAATATAGAGGACACAGGACTAAGAGAGATGGTCTTTGCCACTAAGTGCTCATAACTTATCTTTGAAGGAGAATCCTTCAAAGCTCTACACTGCCCAGAATGGTCCATTCCTCATGGGAAAGCCCCAGGGCTGTGGGCACCTAGCTATCACTGGCAACCACTGGCACTGTCTCCCCCCCCCCAAGCAATTCTGATGCCCTTGTGAATGTGTCCAGGGCAGCTGTTTATCAGCTCCATCTGGTACACAGGCTGAGACCCTATCTGCCTGCAAACTGTCTCACCAGAGTGGTGCATGCTCTAGTTATCTCTCGCTTGGACTACTGAAATGCACTCTATGTGGGGCTACCTTTGAAGGTGACCCGGAAACTACAATTAATCCAGGGTGCGGCAGCTAGACTGGTGACTGGGAGCGGCCACCGAGACCATATAACACCGGTCTTGAAAGACCTACATTGGCTCCTAGTACGTTTCCAAGCACAATTCAAAGTGTTGGTGCTGACCTTTAAAGCCTTAAACGGCCTCAGTCCAGCATACCTGAAGGAGCATCTCCACCTCCATCGTTCTGCCCGGACACTGAGGTCCAGCACTGAAGGCCTTCTGGCGGTTCCCTCGCTGCGAGAAGCTAAGTTACAGGGAACCAGGCAGAGGGCCTTCTCGGTAGTGGCGCCCGCCCTGTGGAACGCCCTCCCACCAGATGTCAAAGAGAAAAATAACTACCAAACTTTTAGAAGACATCTAAAGGCAGCCCTGTTTAGGGAAGCTTTTAATGTTTAACAGGTTATTGTATTTTAGTGTTTTGTTGGAAGCCGCCCAGAGTGGCTGGGGGGACCCAGCCAGATGGGCGGGATGTAAATAATAAATTGTTGTTGTTGTTGTTGTTGTTGTTACTACTACCAGGGGTCGTGTAAACTTGCAAGCTACCACAACCCCCAGCTGTGGGGAGTCCAGAAGGCTCCTTGGTTTTCTGAGGCATTCCAGGCTGAGCTAGAGCAGAGGTTTGATCAAACACAGGTGTGAGCCTACCATTAGATAGCTCAATTGGTAGAACATGAGACTCTTTCATCTCAGTGTAGTGGGTCCGAGCCCCACGTTGGGCAAAAGATTCCTGCAATGCAGGGGGTTGGACTAGATGACCCTCATGGTCTCTTCTGACTCTATGATTCTATGTTGCAGTGGTGGTGACAAAGGCAACATATTCCTCAGTGAACTGCACAGCAAAGGTGTAATAGACTGGTAAATCAGCTGGATTCAGACCAGTGTGGTATAATTTGAGAAATTTATCATCCATGATGAATGTGATGCCACAATTAGTGCAGGTCCATTGGAAGTCCCTGGAGCATCATCTAGCTACAACCTGTGGAATCAGTTCCAGGTGTTGCAGTTTGAGGACCTGGAACTACATCATTGCTCATTATGACTAGTGAAATCTAGGATGAAGAGATTTGCTTGATGGGTCTAGGAAGTGGCTAATTCTTAGGAATCTCGGTTTTGTCGTCCCCCCCCCCCAAGCAATTCTGATGCCCTTATGAATTCACAATCATGGTGGCAAAAGCCAAGGGTGTTTTTTTTGAATAAGATTCCCAGGGGTCAGAATATGACTTTGGTGTCCCACGTGGCAATCTGCCTCCAAAGATGTGAGCTACCCTGATCCGCACCTCTCAGAGTAACATGCAGAACAGCCTGCATCGCCCAAGCAGACAAGGGCTTTACTACATTTACATAAGGAGGGAAGAGATTTCAACTGATGTGATGTAGGCAGCAGCAAGACAGGCAAAACACGAAAGCATTGTGATAATATACTTACTTTATCACCGGAGTGTAAAGACTGTGGAGGCGGCAGTAGAGCCTCACACCCTGCAGAGAGAAATGAACGCAGGCTTGAAATTTCAAAACAGATATAATATTATCTAAAACACATGCGGTGGACCTGCAGCAGTGAGTCTGGCTAATTTCTCTCTCCAGGCATTTAGCGGCACCTTATTGCTGTTTATTTGCTGCACTTGTATTGACTCTTACCCGGTGGTTGATGAAGCTTGTGGATTTTTGTGGTGTTTTATTAAATTACTGTTTTGACTTGTATAATTAGCCTTGAGGATCTTACGGTCAAAATGGCAGGATAAAAATATCGTACACAAACAAACAAACAATTAAAATGCAGCAAGAGTTTGCTGACCTTTGCATACCAATCCTAAATGTAAAAACATGTAAGTTTTGCTGACTCTATATATAAAGACACACAAACATACATGCGCGCACACACTTTAAAGTAAGCTAGTTTCATTCAGCTATTGATCATGAGGTTTTATATTTCAGGTGTTCCACTCTAAAGCATCTGACCTTATTTTAGCATAGACTGTACAGAACATCTCCATGTACGGCTACATAAAAGTTGCTGCAGCTTCTTCCTGCTGATTGAGATAGAAAATATTCATGGAGAAAGAGGGGGAAAGGAGTGAATCTCTTTGGTCTCTTAAAGAGCAATCCAACCCAGAGCAATAGATTGGGCGGAAGGCTCTTTCTCCCCAGTTTATCCAGTTCAGTCAGCCTTCTGCCAGATGCAAGGGCAGGGGGCCTGCTGGAAGCATCCCTGCCTGTGAGGACCACCTGAAAGTCCTGAAAAGGGCATTCCAAGGGCAGGGTTGAGCTGACTCAGGATCCACTAGATCCCCTGATCTCTTGTGCAGTTGCACTGGGCCCAGAATAGCAATTTGAACAGTGCGTCAAAGCAGATTGCGAATAAGCTCATTGTTATAACAAACTCTGGCTATGCCACAACGTCAACCCAGAAACATACCTTGGACATGATGTCTTCCAATTCGCTCCTTGGCTTGTAAGTCCCATCATCGTAGCGAAACCTGTACATCACCTGCTCGTTCTTGAACTGGTGCTTATCTGAAACTGAAGCAGCAGAACAATAATCCAGCAACCTCTGGAGGACCACAAAATCCCCCAACTATGAAGTAATGTATTCTGTTCTTGGGACAATGGCTTGCAAGCAAATGAAGGCAGCAACTACTCTTCTCTTGCTTTTTCACACAGTTAGGAAAAACACCCCTAACATTGTAATACAAAAAAGATTATCAAAGACATCAGACAAGCTTAATCAAATGACTTCCCAATTAAGAATTGGGTTGAGATCATTTGCTCTGAAACTGAGGCAACTGAAGGTTTGGGACCTGAGGTAGAAAACATATGGGTGCTTTGAAGTGTATTTTCCAGCCATGTGCACCTGAGGGATGGAAGAGGAATCCCTGCTGCATAAATGACAAGAGGATGTATGGCTTTCTGCAATAGTAATAAAAAGCAAAAGAAGAAAACTAGCCCGTCTTTAAAGAGAAAAACCCTGCAATCTGGCCATCCTACAAACAAAACAAACAGGGTACCATTTCACACATTACTCTGAAGCAAGCCCTGTTTTTGCACAAAATATATACTCAGAAAGCTGAATCGAATTATATTACAATAAGAAATGTACCTATATGGCACACAGGCTCGCTGCAGTAACTCTTTCTTTTCGTATGTACTCTGAGTGGAAACAATGCAACCAACTCTAATAACAGAACTCAACAATGGCAATTCACTGTAGCCACAGTTTCAAAAGAATCCTCTCAGTTAACAGCAATCCATTTTGCATGGGGGTTCCAATCTAAGTGCGCTCCACCACCATTTCGCCCTCTTCAGGGCCCAAAAGACCCGCACATCAGCGTTCACACATCAATTGGATGTGCCTAAAATGGTCAGCACCTGTACTAACAACTTTGGGGCCCTTCAGCTGCAGAGGGCCCTAATTCTGAACACACCACACATACCTATGAGTCTGCTTCCTGCACTGAAGTATTTAGAGTGAATACTGATTTGTAATGTGTTGATGTTTAGAAAACTCCTCCCGTTAGATAAAGAGAAAAATCCCAAAGTTGAGACATTGAAATATTGGTTGCTGAGGCCTAAACAACATGTGGTTGGTGCTCTTAAAATAAAAATCCATCACTACTTCTCAGTAGACTACTACACCCGATATGATCTTTTGCTGCCGTGCAAAGCACTCACCATGATGAATGATGCCATTCTCCAGCAGAGCTTGTCCCAGGTTGACCCCTTCTTCCGGTTTGCTTATCTCCCCAATTTCTATGAGCCAAGATACAAACTCGCTGTAGAGAGAAGAGGAGCAACAAATGCAATTAACTCTCTGTTCCCTTTGGCCAAGAAGATCAACGCACAAGATGTGAACTGTCTAAGTGAAGCAACGCATGTCAACATGAGGGTTAGTGTAGTGTAAGTGGCTGGAGTATAGGACTAGGACCTAGGAGACCCCATTCACTCACAAGTAAATAAAGCGCAACCAATTGTACAATAAATTGCAACAATAATTAACTTCTGTTTCAGTGTATCTGAAGAAGTGTGCATGCACACGAAAGCTCATACCAAGAACTAACTTAGTTGGTCTTTAAGGTGCTACTGGAAGGAATTTTTTTTGTTTTAACAATAATTAAGACATTTAACACAAGATTTCTATGAGATAAGTTGTTTTAATTTACACATTACAGGGGGAAGATGGAAACTCAACATGGGATTGCCATATTGGGTGGCACCCCCGTGTTTCTTATAAGGTGTAATTCTACCCTAATTCTGAACGAATGGCTGCAGTGCAGTGTTGTAATATGCAAACCAGAACTCAAATCTGGACAGAATACAAATGAATGCAACAGTGAATGTAGGAAGGAGAGAGAGAGAGAGAGAGAGAGAGAGAGAGAGAGAGAGAGAATGAGAATATTATTACAGAAAGAAATAAACTTGATGAATGGGGCACTGTCAGTGCTCTGATGTGATGTGGCCGTTTGCCAACTTGAGCAGCAATTATTCTACAACTGCGCAAAAATCCAGACGATACATGAAAAGGATTTCTGAAAGGCAGAGCAATGCAGAGGAAATCTGTGTTCAATAAAAAAGCTGTAACTCTTCCAGTTTGTGTAGGTTTGTTGCTTATCAAAACCAGCATCCTTGCATCCAATTACACAGCCTCGGGTGCCCTATTTCAGCCTGTATTTAGGAAGAGTTGACTCATCTAAGCTGCAGGTAGTTCATTAAAAGAAGAAAAGGGAAAGTTACAGTTGCTTCAGCTTGGGTTTAGGGGAATGTAAATGAAGGCTTTTCAAAGTAGTTTCTGCACCTTTAGACCCGTATGACTTAACAAAACTACATCAGACTTTATAAATTTGGCATAACTCTGCACTGGAATGTGTAGATGATAACCGCCGCTCACCAGATTTTCGAGAGCTGTTGCTCTGGAAGCTGTGAAGTACTTTTAAATGCCTTTTAAAATGCTGCTTGCCCCTGCTTTGCTGTTTTATTGCTTTATGCTGTTGCAAATGGGCTTGCATATAACCAGTGTTTCGTTGCTAATGGCTCTCACAATCAATTTCAATACTCCATGGCAGGGAAGCACAAAACAGGAAATAAAACTGACTTACAAGGCTAGTGTTCTAAAAGTAGAAGAGTAAACCAACAAAGGGGCTGGTTGTGAAATCAAAACATTCAAAAGCACATGATGGGAGTGACCAGCTTGCTTCAAGCCAAGCTGACTTTATGAGCAATCAAGTCTAGCTAGACTGGGGCTTTGCCCTTGAATGCTCCTCCATACAAATAAAACCCCTGCACACAGAAAAGTAGCATGTCAAAATGGCAAAGCCGGAACACCTTTTTCTTACATAAAAAGGTAAAGGGACCCCTGACCATTAGGTCCAGTCATGCCAGACTCTGGGGTTGCGGCGCTCACCTCGCTTTATTGGCCGAGGGAGCCGGCCGTACAGCTTCCGGGTCATGTGGCTCTGTCCATAACAGTTACCTGTTGCATCACTGCGCTGGATTTCTGATCACTGCTGATGCAAAGTCACAGCAAAATTACCTGATCTCAAAAGACCAGTGCATCTCTGCATGAGTCACTGTGTTAGTGTGCCACACTCTCCTCTTTCCAACCAAGTGATGCACTCAGAACACTAACACCTGCAGAATTGCAGAGGTCCTCCGAACACAGGGGCGGAGGAAGGGGGGCAGTGGGGGCAGTCCGCCCCGGGTGTCACCACTGATGGGGTGACAAAAGGCCGGGCGGCACTCACTGCGGGCATGCAGCGTGCCAGAGCCACACGTCTCTCCTGGGAGTGATGCAGTGGCTTGGGCGCCCGCAGGCTCCACATTGCCCCAAAGGGTCCACCCGCCACCTCCCCAGTTGTAGGACAGCTAAGTGGCAGGAAGACTCCTCGGAGGCCCCGCGGAGTGTCCTGCTCTGGGCCCCGCGGAGTGTCCATGCGCCGCTCCAGGCGCCTGACTGGCTTGCTCCACCGCTGTCTGAATACAGCTAATCCTTACTCTTTCACAGATCAAACATTTGCTTTTTAGAGTGTGAGAGTGAAGGGTTTCCTCATTTACAATTCGAAAAAGAAGTGTGCTGAAACTTAAGCATATACTTGTAGCACCAGGGTATTTTGGTTCAGGCCGCATAGCTGAAAAAGTTGGTCTCTAGGAGAATACTTAAGAGTACATCTGAACCAGGCTGCTTGAAGGCTGTTTAGCAGCTTGTAATTTCAGCTGTTACAAGGGGTCTGCAAATGTTTTTCTGAGAATAAATGAAAAATGAAAGGAACAAGCCCTGTTCATTTCAGTATTGAAATGAATAAGAATTAAAACAAATGAGCTTCCAATGAAAAACCTACTCATTCATTTGATTCATCTCTCATTAGTTTCTAATGTGTTGGAAAATTGAAACACCCTGGAACAAACTTTACAGGCCACAGGCCATAGAAAGCACGTGCACGCACGCATACACACACACACACACACACACACGTTGCTCCAGCAAGGTTCAATGGAAGGTGCTTCAGAGAGCAGTTCGCAAATCCATTAAACTTTGATGGAGTGATGTTAAAAGGACCAGGCCAGCAGTAAGCAGCATTGCCTCCTCTCCCAATGGGGGACAAGGCGATTTTGCTTAGGGCTGAGTTCAGAAGTGCAAAAAAGTTCTGAATTCAGCAGGATCACTCTCCCTTCCCATTGGCTGATATGAAGAAGGAGTGATCCTGCTTAATGCTGGGTCCCCACTTTGTGCAGCACCAGAAAGCCTCCCAATAACCAGATGCTTGTATATGAAAAAGTGGTTTGGCTTATTACTGTTCAGGGGTTTGGGGGGGGATTATTTCAGTGTTCTATGGAAGACTTTGCAATTGTTTGAAGGGTTGCCCCTAGAAATGTTCCACTGATAATGTTCCCAAGTGGATCCATCCCAAGTGGATCCATCCCAAGCTTACAAGCTGCCTGTCCAATGTTATTTGTGTCAGAAAAACAAAAATATCAAAACTTAGCAAATGGTCCATACTGTTGTACTACTCAAGCCTAGTAGCACTTCATTTAGGAACTTAACCTGACAGCACAACGACTGTCATGAAAAGGAACAAGGGAGGAATAGGGAGCTGATTGACACGCAGCAGAGGTGTGCTCACAAGGATGCAAAATATGACACGAGAAAGAACTTTTGAGTTGATCCATGAGGAAAGGTTAGTAAGGTCAAGGAAGAAAGGGGTGAGGCTGACAGTTCTGCATACACACCGAACTGTAAAACAAACTAGAAAAGCACAGTTTGACATGTTTGACAAGAAACTTCTTTGCTATTTTGAGTTCCAAACAGCAAAAAAATGTGCAGCTCAAGTCTGAAGTGGAGGGAATGTCTAAGAATAGGTCAGATATGAAATGACAGGTTTGCAATAGTGCATTTTGAAGTTCATTGGCTTAGCCCTGCTGGGTGGTCAGGACCAGAATAGCAGCAGAGCTGCTATGGTTTGAAATCCACAAAGATTTTTATTCTTTCTTTTTCATGCTTAGAAGGATTAAGAAGCTACGGCTGAAATAGCAAGTTTGCTTCAGGGGAAGCTTAAAGCACACTGATAGCTCACGATGCACATCTGCAACAAGAGTGTGGAAAGGAGCAAGCTTTGGGTTGGGGCTGTGGTAAAAAAAAATGTGTCTAGCCAGCCACAGATGGACCTCTTTACTGCTGTTGCCAGGCCGGGCTGGTAAAAATGAGCAGCATACACTATGAAATATATAAAATATCCAAAGCAATGTGATTAAAAAGCAGGATGGACAAGCAATGGATGGCAAAACCAATAGCAGACACCCTGTTCTTCCCACAGTTATGAGGATACAACACTATGGAGACTTCTCTTCACATTGGTCATGTCCACACGTAATGCTAAGCCAAGCTGCTGCTTAGTGCACTTGTGTGGCCTGCTGGGTAGGAGACGGCAACCACTTTGTTCTTCACCAGTCCTTTTAGCTCAGTTCTGCATATGTCATCTCAGTGGAGTCACTAGGATGAATGAGGCACTGCCCCACCAACCTCTGCCCTCGGCCAGTGCCCCACCTGCCTATCACCTCACTTACAACCAATCAGGGGGTGGCTCTGCCTGTCATTGGCTCTGGCTCCACCTACTGCTGATGCTCTGTGCTTTCTGCCCTGCCCAACCCAATGGCTACCAACCACCACAGTGTAGATTTCATGGCTAAGCTCTCACCGTCCTAACCACAAGCTGCAACCATGGTCTGTTATTGGCTACAGCTCATGGCTAAAGAGGAGAGCTTAGCCACAAGCCTAAGGTTCAGCAACATGCTAGGCCAAACCATGGTTTAGCTGCTATGCTAAACTAGAAGAACCAGGGAGGAGCTGGCATGTTCGTGAAGACCCAAGCTGCTAACCCTGTCAATGCAGGGTTGAAAATATCTCTCCTTCTAAGACACAGGCCAATGTTTGAGCTGCTTCTCTGACATGCTAGGAATACTTGTCCTTCCTTCAAATCTGCCCATCAATCAAGCACAAGGACACAGCAAGAGTATGGCCATGAAACTGTTCGGAGGAACCTAACACAGATGGAACAAATGCCCCTGAAAACAAACTTCCTGGCTGATCATTTCCGTATTAATCGGCCAAGCTGGAAAAGTCCTCTGAGATTTCTTCCTGTGACTCTCCGGTTCATGTGGGGCATTGAAGCATACTGGTGGTGTGAATATCTTATCTAATCTCTTCTTGTCAAATGCCTCCTGTCTGCATTCTTTTCCCCTTCCACCTCGAAAGTCTTTCCAAGGCTGAAATCTGCACTATTCAAAATTGCTTCCGAATACCCAGGAAAAATCCTGCATAAATTTAACAATAACCCCATTGTTAAATTTATGCATCTGGGTTTGATATGGCAGCCACGACAATTCTGAGTCCTGTAAGAGTATCTTTTAAAGCATTTTCTTCCGTGCAAAACAAAGGAAGATCATGGATTGTCAAAAACATGTCCAACCCATAATTCAAGCATGCATCGTGCACATAATTTCTCAACCTCCCTGCAGACTTGGATTGATGTTTGCAAGTCGTCTTCCCCTACCCACCCCCCACTGGAATTTGCTGTCATTGCGTAGTCCAAGGGCATTAAGCAGGAATGAATGATTAATTTTAATAAACTAATTGTAATGGAGGTTAAAGACCCTTCCAATTAAATCCCATCAAAGCACATCTGATTTGGCTTCACAATACTGTCCACAGAAAACCCACGGTCCTTTCCGTTAATTGGAATGAAAAGGCCTTTTCAACCCAAAAGCCACTTACTTGCCAAGAAAGCACTTGGGAACAGTGCTTAATTTTCTTCTCCTGTCTTTGATAAGGCTCACTTTCTTGTTCATCATCATGTGATACAGCTTCTCCCCTTTCTCGGCGATCATGACGTACGCATCCCTCTCCATGCCCAACTTCAGACCTGGAATACAGAAGCAGGGTCTCCCTCAAAAGCTTCTCAGATGAAAGAAAGGATTTGCTCAAAGACCAACAAGTCGTGTTCCCACCCCACCCACCCTTGCGGGAAACTAATTTAATAAACGTGGTAGGGAAAACTTGGGGAATTGCCTAATTTATTACTTCAGCTCAGAAATTGGAGGCCTCTGGATGAAATCCAAACCTATGAGGTATATGATTTTTTTTTCCCAATTGCCAACCCATGGAATGGCAGGGGAAGAAAACAGATACTGGAGAAATGGCACTTAGTGGCAGGGATCCACCATTGCTATCCAAGGTGACCCCTCAGTGACCTTGTTGCTGACATGGGCTTCATAGGACTGGGCCACAGACCTAATTAGGTCTACCAGGCCTCCGCATTTGGCCCAAGAGGCCATTTCAGCAAGGCCATGCACACCTCGAGTACCCCGTCATATACAATGTCAGGTGTGGGAAAGTAAAGACTTGTCATAGCTGAAAGGGACAATGACAAAACGATAACTCTAGTTTCCGGCTAAACTATTTTGAGGTCCAATTGCCACTATCAGTTCCCTCTGCCATAATGTTTACTGCTCATGGGGTCCCCCTGGACTCAGATGTGTGGAAATGTTGTGTTACAAGGAGTCTACAGGCAGGACTCTAGACCATGGGTAGGCAATGGCCCAATCGCCTTCTAAATCCGCCCCGTGGACTGTCTGGGAATCAGCATGTTTTTACATGAGTAGAATGTGTCCTTTTATTTAAAATGCATCTCTGGGTTATTTGTGGTGCCTGCCTGGTGTTTTTACATGAGTAGAATGTGTGCTTTTATTTAAAATGCATCTCTGGATTATTTGTGGGGCATAGGAATTCGTTCATTATTTTTTTTCAAAATATAGTCCTGCCCCCCACAAGGTCTGAGGGACAGTGGACTGGCCACTGCTGAAAAGGTATGCTGACCCCTTCTCTAGATACTCATTGGGTCCTGTTTGTGGATCAGCCACAAACTGCTCATAAGACTTTAATAAATGTGTGTTACTAGAACTATTTTAAAACTGCATTCGTATAAAGCTACATTACCCATTATCTGAGGCATATTCCACATTTATAAAATGGGTTGGCTGAAGCAAAAGACACACATGTGCATTATTTCTGCTTAACACCCACTGCATTTTCTCTTTCACACATACAGACACACTCACAACACACTGCATGCCCCACTCCTCTGCTACTTATCTATGTTGCAGCCACAAAGAGAACTGATTTTAAAAAATCAGTGGTTACTGTATATCTCCCCGCCCCCCCCAAAATATGCTAATCCTCTTGGAAATCTACTTAGGTCAACCCTGACTGTCACTCAGGATGAGCATACCAAAAGCATGTTGAAGTAATTCAGAAGATTACAGAGGTTAGATGGAATAAAGGGGAAGGGAAAAATAATCAATATGCCAAAAATCTCTCATTTTTAGGTTTGAAGCAAAAAAGAAAAGAGTCACCCAATAAACACCCAGACATACTATTTTGCCTGCCTCACAAGATTTTTGACAAATGAAAACTAGAACCATATAATCTTCACCACACTACAGTCCAGTCTATGGCACAGATTTCAGATGTTTGATGCTCTGCCTGGAGAAATAAGAATATGCAATGTTTTGCCTTGCAGAACCCTCATTTGTTTTCATGATCCAATGCCTGGTGAAAAGATTTTGGCAGGGCAAACATCCTGGCTGATTGCCATCTTCCTCCATACCACGATGTTAGTCAAATATACTTGCTGACAAGTTCTGCCAAAGGTAATTTGCAAAGTCAGGTTGGGAGAGAAAGCAGCCTGTGTAATAGGACACATTTGTGGCTACATCATCACATTCCCCAAGTTCCGAAGTAAGCAAAAGATTACAATGCATCCCCTACTCAGCTGGTTTTAGGACAAAGCCAATCTTTCTTGCCTCAGCACTGATAACAGCTTGATGCTGCTGGAAGTGCATGAATCCAGATGGAGGAGCTTTTCAACAAAGGCCTGAAATATCTGCCTCTAAAATCTAACTGATTGATTGCTCTTCTCTGGTGAGTAAAAATTGCCTCCAGGAGACTACGTGAATCTCCATTGCTCTGTGGTACGCTAAACGCTTTGCATGGAGAAGGTCCAAAGTTCACTCCCTGACATCTCCAGCAAAGTGATATTAGATAAATGATATTGTTTGACTGGATTAGTGATCCAGTTAACTTATCTTGGATAGCAAGGATCAGAGAGATTTCTGTTGCCAGTCAGAGGAGACAATAGACTAGTCAAACTAACGGTGGAAAGCCTACACATGTCCACTCAGAACCAATAGTAGAGCTTATTCCAGGGAAGATGGCATAGGATTGTAGTCTAAGTGTCAGAAAGCTTCATCTACTGCCCACCCCACCTTGTTGTGAGCCCAAGGGGCTGCTCTTCTCCCTTTTTACTTCAGAAACTTACTGACCTTGAACTCTGAAAATGCCTCTTGCTTGTCTGGATGGAGAACAGAACGGGCAATAGGACTGTATGTAGGAACTACCCTACTGCACAAAGGTAAAATTTACATTCATTGTTCTGCCCACTTTTGCCTCTGACATTGGTCACGACTGGCATGTGACCCTTGCGAGGCTGCCAAGAAGAGAATGCAGTCTTGGGCTGGAGAAGATTCTTCAGCCCTGCTTCTAGACACTGAGAATCCTTGATTTGCCTGCCTTGCAGGACTTTCTTTCTCTTAAACGCATCAGGCCAGAAATTATGAAGCATCCTTCATCCATGCTAGGGCTGCTTCCCGTACTGAAGCTGCCTTCATTGTTGTCCTTGGCTAGCAACCAACTCCTCACACATGACAATGCATATTAAAAAAAGACGTTCTTGGATTTCATGTTAACTTGCTACTCTTTAATATGCACTCCCTTGTACTAAATGTCAAACAACTATTATTATAGGTTATTCATAAAATCAAAGAATTGTAGAGTTGCAAAGGTCATATAGTCCAACACTGGAAAACAGATTCCCCTTAGGAGTGAAACTGTCAGAAAACTTTCTTACCACACTTTGATTATAATTTTTCAGTCTTGCCCAGAATCAGAAAGAATTCATTTGTGCCCTTTATCCAGTCCACCAGTTTCCCCTTCTGGCTCCACATATATAGTAATCCCCACGTAGCCCCAGATGCAGACATAAAGGCTAAGTTATGCTGACATTACAATTTTAATCACAACAGTGATTACTGGAAGTGGCACGGAGCACTTCTGCCATGGCAGGGTTTTTCCACTGACACCTTAAGAATGAAAAGGGAAGGAAACAATCCAGCAGGATGTTTATAAGATGTTTCATTTGCCAATTTTATTCAAGAACGATACAGGTTCTCTCTTCAGAAGAAAGAGAAATGACATCAATGCTTGAGAAAAGGTCTTATTTTCCTTATGGGTTCTATTTATAAACTGGAGCCTTGCAAATCGATTTAGTAAATACAGAGCTTTAAAATACTTCGGTGCACAAAAGGAGCTGGCAATGTGACTCCTGCAACTATGCTGATGCGTGGGCAACTGCAGTGCCCAAGGAGTGCACTGAGAAGTCGCTCCTTCGCAAGTGGAAAAAACTCTCTCTCTCCTTTTGCCGTTATGTATTAAGAACCCGACCCCAGACACTTGAAGAAACCATAATTGTTCCTCTCTCAGATGGATAACCCCGCAATCGCAGACACATACACAGTCGGTCTCATTATTCACACAGCACATAAAATAAACCAGTCAATAACTTACTCTCTCTCTGTTCCCTTTCCTTAATGATAGCATCCAGCCATTTCTGTTTGTCCTCTGCTGTCTTGGCCATACAGACGAACCATTTGTTTTTGGCAGTGTTGTGTATCTTCCAGCCATTTGTCACCGTGTAACCATTGCTGTGGTAATCGGCTGCAAATACATAACAGTACGGCCAAGACTGTGAGTGGAAAGTCCTGAGCCTTCATGGAAAAGCAACTCACCTGGCATGCACACCTGGCAGACAAGACTGGACATTTTTCTTTATGTCAGAGCCAGCAAATTGTATCTGCTGTGAAAGCTCCATCAGAATTTCTAAGCTGCTGTCTCCTGCTGGGACACTCTCCGGTGATATTAACGACAACTGAGCCAGGGACTGAAGACCACAATTGCAATGAACACTGGGGTTTTATCATGCTTCCAAAATGGAAGCATGGCAGTGCAGGCTCTGACCTGTCACCCTCCACATTTCAAGGCATATTCTCAAAGTGACCCTTCAGTAAAACTACCTGCTGATAAGGGATGTTGGCTGATCCTTCTTGGGAGTTTCCATATACTCTAGCAAGCCTCCCCTCCCATCTACTGCTACAGCCTTTTTAATGATGATTAAGGGCATCCAGACAGACGTGGTACCCTTCCCTTCCTCTCAACGACGAGTGAGACTCAGCACATGCTGAGGCCAAGTAGTGTCGAAACAAGATGTATGCCATGCTGTGGGGAAGGAAAGGGAGGTGTTGCTCTCTATTCACACAGCAAAAAAGGTTCGCTCTAGTTTGTTTGTTTGTTTCAAATCCAGTGATTAACAAAGTCTTACAAAATGTTTCAAGTCGGTCAACAGACTTTGCAATAGGTATAAAGGACACACAAATGCCCTTTCCTACACAGAGGCATCCAAAGTTATGAGACTTGGCTAGCAAGGTGAGGATATAAGGCCCATTGCCTCTTATTCCAGGAATGGACAGAAGGTAGGACGAGCATCTGCCGTTGCATTCTAATTCCCAATTCTTTAATGATAGCAACAACTACTCCCTCCCTCAAACTAGGGTGCTGAAACAAAAACAGAAATTGATTTTTCTGTGTAAGGAGCTTCATTTCGGTACTGAATATAAATCCCTAAGCTGAGAGGCACCCTGTTCTTTAATTATGTCTATGTCTGCACCACAGGGGGTAGTGGACTAACAGAGATATCACAAAGCTTGAAATCTGCCTACTCTTGTTTTATCCAATAAAGAAGGCAACTGTGCTCTCTTCTCTCTGAGAAAAGGTTCTTTGGTTCCTTACCTGTCCCATCTTCCACATTCTCAACCTCCATGACTTCCGTGTTTATTCGGCCCCTGAAGATGTAGAGGGAGCCATTGATGGACTTGGTGCGTTTGGATGTCTTTTTCCCAGCAACTCTGCAGGAAGGAAAAGCGTTGTTAAGAAAAATGTCTGTTCACTATGTAAATAGAAATGTGCTTTTTTTACTATCTTTAATAGTGCCTTCTCCCACAAATACGCATTCATTCTACTTCTTCATCATCCCTCGAGAATGTCCCATTCATCCCCAAGTTTTCAGAATGAAGAAGTGGAATAAAGATTCATTGCACATTTTAAAGATGCTTGTATGCATTTTTACCTTAGTTTCAGTCTATAAACATGCTAAGCAACCTTGTTTTGCAGGTTAATTTAGTGTGGCACAAGTGAACTGATTGATTCATAATGTTGCCAGTACAACCTAAAAATAAAGGGAAGTAGCTGATACTGTATATCTTGCTTTCAATCTAGCTGACATGCAGGACAATAGGTCTGCCCCACTAAACAAAAAAATCTGCATGCCAATTATGTTATATTTAGCTCTTTGTGGATATGCAAAAACTCAATTAACAAATGCATCAATTCCTGCAATGAGGCATGGAGCCTCTGTTGGGCTACACGTCAATAAAAGCTGCACCATGTTGTCAGTTTTAAGCAACATGAAACTGCTTCACTTCCTAAGCTTTAGTGCTCTGAATGGAGGAACCGTAGCACAGTATTAGGCTGCATGTTTGGGGCACAAAAGGATTTGGGTTCAATCCCTGGCATATTGGAACCGACAGCTCACAGAAGAACCCCGACCAGACCTAAGAGGAGGCGTGTAGTGGTGATAGGGGATTCCCTACTGAGGGGAACAGAAGCAGTGATCTGTGGGCCTGACAAGATGTCTCGGGAAGTGTGCTGTCTCCCCGGGGCTAAGATCCAAGATGTAACTGAACGACTGCAAGGAATCATAAAACCCACTGACAAATACCCCTTCCTCTTGGTTCATGTGGGAACCAATGACACTGCAAGCAATAGCCTCCAGAAGATCAAAAGAGATTACGAGGCTCTGGGCAGGAAATTGAAGCAATTAAATGCACAAATTGTCATCTCATCTGTCCTCCCAGTTGAACGACGTGGCCCAGGGAGAGAGGGAAAAATAGTGGAAGTGAACAACTGGCTTCGCAAATGGTGCAAACAGGAACGGTTTGGATTCTTAGATCACGGAATGCAGTTTCTTGAAGATGGACTTCTGGCAAGCGATGGGCTGCACCTCACAACGGTTGGGAGGAATGTTTTTGCAAAAAATCTCAGAAACCTCATCAGGAGGGCTTTAAACTGACTAATGTGGGGGAGGGAGACAGTGCTCCTGAAGGTAGGAGTCTATCAATTGATGAAGATGATCATCCAAATGTCATAGACCGAATGGAGCAAAGAGCATGCAGACCTAGTGGTGGGAGGAGAAAATCCTTAAATAAGAGACACGGAGGAATGATTAATGGACTTCAATGTCTGTACACTAATGCGCAAAGCATGGGAAATAAACAAGATGAGCTTGAGCTCCTGGTACAGCAAACTAAATATGACATAATAGGAATCACTGAAACCTGGTGGGATAAATCCCACGATTGGAATGTAATAATGGAGGGATACAATCTATTTCAAAGAAACAGACCAGACAAGAAAGGAGGAGGAGTGGCGTTATATGTCAGGGATGTGTATACCTGTGAAGAGATCCAAGATTTAGAACCTCAAAGCCAAAGTGAGAGCATTTGGGTCAAAATTAAGGGAGAGAAGAATAACAGTGACCTCATTGTGGGAGTTTACTATAGATCCCCAAGCCAAACGGAGGACATAGATGATGCCTTCCTGGAACAGATGGCCAAGCATGCAAAAGGAAGGGAGATAGTAGTAATGGGGGACTTCAATTACCCGGATATTTGTTGGATGACAAACTCAGCCAAGAGCATAAGGTCAAACAGATTCCTCACTGCCCTTGCAGACAACTTCATTGTCCAGAAAGTGGGAGAAGCAACAAGAGGAACAGCCATTTTAGATCTGGTCCTAACCAATGTTGATGACCTGGTTAGTGGGGTAGAAGTGGAAGGATCATTAGGCGCGAGTGATCATGCTCTTCTGAAGTTTACTATACAGCGGAAAGGAGCAGCCAAGCATACTAGGACTCAATTTCTCGACTTTAAGAAAGCCGACTTCATAAAGCTTAGGGAAGTGCTGGGTGAGATCCCATGGACAGTAATACTAAAAGGAAAGGGAGTTCAAGATGGCTGGGAGTTTGTTAAGAGGGAGATAGTAAAAGCACAACTTCAGGCAATACCAATGAGACGGAAACATGGAAGGTGCCTAAAGAAGCCAGGGTGGCTATCTAAAGAACTTTTAACTGAGTTAAGATTAAAAAAGGATGTGTACAAAAAATGGAAAAGGGGGGAAACCACCAAAGAGGAATTCAAACAAATAGCCAGCACGTGTAGACACAAAGTCAGAAAAGCTAAAGCACAAAATGAACTCAGGCTTGCTAGAGAGGTTAAAAGCAACAAAAAAGGCTTTTATGGGTATGTTCGTAGCAAAAGGAAGAACAAAGAAACCGTGGGGTCACTCAGAGGAGAAGATGGTGAAATGCAAACAGGGGACACAGAAAGGGCTGAACTCCTCAATGCCTTCTTTGCCTCAGTCTTCTCCGATAAAGAAAACAATGCCCGACCTGAAGAATTTGGAGCAAATGATTCAGCAGAGGAAACACAGCCCAGAATAACTAAGGAGATAGTACAAGAATACTTGGCTAGTCTAGATGTATTCAAGTCTCCAGGGCCAGATGAACTGCATCCAAGAGTATTAAAAGAACTGGCAGATGTGATTTCAGAACCACTGGCAGTCATCTTTGAGAATTCCTGGAGAACAGGCGAAGTCCCGGCAGACTGGAGGAGGGCAAATGTTGTCCCTATTTTCAAAAAGGGGAAAAGAGAGGACCCAAATAATTACCGCCCAGTCAGTCTGACATCAATACCAGGGAAGATTCTGGAGCAGATCATTAAGCAAACAGTCTGTGAGCACCTAGAAAGGAATGCTGTGATCACCAATAGTCAGCATGGATTTCTGAAAAATAAGTCATGCCAGACTAACCTGATCTCGTTTTTTGACAGAATTACAAGCCTGGTAGATGAAGGGAACGCAGTGGATGTAGTCTACCTTGATTTCAGCAAGGCATTTGACAAGGTGCCCCATGATATTCTTGTAAAGAAGCTGGTAAAATGCGGTCTTGACTATGCTACCACTCAGTGGATTTGTAACTGGCTGACTGACCGAACCCAAAGGGTGCTCATCAATGGTTCCTCTTCATCCTGGAGAAGAGTGACTAGTGGGGTGCCACAGGGTTCTGTCTTGGGCCCGGTCTTATTCAACATCTTTATCAACGACTTGGATGATGGACTCAAGGGCATCCTGATCAAATTTGCAGATGACACCAAACTGGGAGGGGTGGCTAACACCCCAGAGGACAGGATCACACTTCAAAACGACCTTGACAGATTAGAGAACTGGGCCAAAACAAACAAGATGAATTTTAACAGGGAGAAATGTAAAGTATTGCACTTGGGCAAAAAAAATGAGAGGCACAAATACAAGATGGGTGACACCTGGCTTGAGAGCAGTACATGTGAAAAGGATCTAGGAGTCTTGGTTGACCACAAACTTGACATGAGCCAACAGTGTGACGCGGCAGCTAAAAAAGCCAATGCAATTCTGGGCCTCATCAATAGGAGTATAGCATCTAGATCAAGGGAAGTAATAGTGCCACTGTATTCTGCTCTGGTCAGACCTCACCTGGAGTACTGTGTCCAGTTCTGGGCACCACAGTTCAAGAAGGACACTGACAAACTGGAACGTGTCCAGAGGAGGGCAACCAAAATGGTCAAAGGCCTGGAAATGATGCCTTATGAGGAACGGCTAAGGGAGCTGGGCATGTTTAGCCTGGAGAAGAGGAGGTTAAGGGGTGATATGATAGCCATGTTCAAATATATAAAAGGATGTCACGTAGAGGAGGGAGAAAGGTTGTTTTCTGCTGCTCCAGAGAAGCGGACACGGAGCAATGGATCCAAACTACAAGAAAGAAGATTCCACCTAAACATTAGGAAGAACTTCCTGACAGTAAGAGCTGTTCGACAGTGGAATTTGCTGCCAAGGAGTGTGGTGGAGTCTCCTTCTTTGGAGGTCTTTAAGCAGAGGCTTGACAACCATATGTCAGGAGTGCTCTGATGGTGTTTCCTGCTTGGCAGGGGGTTGGACTCGATGGCCCTTGTGGTCTCTTCCAACTCTATGATTCTATGATTCTATGATTCTATATCTGTCCAAGACCTTGGAAAGCCAATGCCAACCAGACAGTATTGGGCTACATGGACAAAGTGTCTGGTTTGGGATAAGGCAATTTCCGAAGTTTCTCCTTGCTTTGCTTCAGGGGGAAGTCATTCAAGATTGACAGAGCTACTCTCTCGAAGCAGAGGAGGTTCACCTGGTGGGGCAGAGCTGCTACACTAGCTTCCCAGCAAGTGAGTTGCTGCTGCTTAGAAAGAGAGGTGAGAGGTGTAGCAGCAGAGAGATTGATGTGGTGCAAACACAGCAGCGGAGCCAATCCAGTGGTCCTGCTGGTGTGTTTGCACTGCTCCAACTTCCCCCTCACCTCACACTGCTCCCTTCCAGTAAGCAACAGTGACTCTGCCCCTGTCCCCAACAAACTGCCATATTATCACTTTTGTAATAAATTTTCGACCTTCCGGTGGTTTTGATGCAAAGACATCGCTTGGTGGCCTTAGTGTAGAACCCACATATGTTTTCTTCATCAAACTGCTTGTCACATTCCCCATGACTCTCAGGCCATGTAAACTGCTCTCACTTTCATCTGGCAGACAATAATTCTAACATCCCCATCTTTTGTACCAGGCAAAGACTTTTTTATGTGTCTAGGCATCCCAGCATATAATGTAGCTGATTTTGTTTGGCCCTGCATGGTTTCTTTGGGTTTTATTGATCTGCTGCGGCTCATACTTCAATGATTTGTCTGCCAATTTTACACTGTGCTTTATTGCATTTGTATTATTTTAGAATATAC